TATGTACAATATATACAAATTGTTTTGGTGTTTAAAGATATGATAGTAATTCTCCTGTTTAATTTTAATTCTCATGTTGCACAGTCCATATTTCTTTCCTTCTTTTACCAGCTTTGGCATTCCAATTTTAAACCTTGAATTCCACATCATGATTGCATGTTTGTGGATTTCTGAATTTGTGTCAGGTTCCCCTTCTACATCAGCAGTTTGAGCACTAACTTTGATATTGATTAACTTAATGTTCTAGTACAGTGGTGGCGAACCTATGGCACACGTGCCAGAGGTGGCACTCAGAGCCCTCTCTGTGGGCACACATACCCTGGAGATGGCAACTGTCCCTTTTCAACCAGCCGCCCGCTAACTCGCCAAGGTCCCACATGGCCAGATGCATCCCAGCACCCATGTGCTCGCTGGTCTCTGTGTGCAGAGGTCGATGGTGTCAGGAAGCAGCTGACCCTGCTCCTGCCACACCTTGCCCTGTGACAATGGCACCCCCACCCTGCCTCGGCTCACCCTGAAGGATGAGCCTCCTGCCCACCGCCCACCTGGCAAAGACCCCCTGGATCTCCCCCAACCCTGCCCGGTCCCCACAAGCATCCCTCCCCACGAGCAACATCGAGGTGATCACGCCCACCTTGGACACTCCCACCCAATCTGCCATGACCACCACAGCCACGCCCACTCAGTGGGCCACGCCCACTTGTCACCCGGCAATAAATAAGTAGGTTTTGGGTTGCAGTTTGGGCACTCGGTCTCTAAAAGTTTCGCCATCACTGTTCTAGTACTTTGATATTAAGCTATTATTACCATATTAATAGGCTCATCACAAAGTTTAAATAATACTATTGATCATAGACTGCATTGTACCAAGTACAGTCTACTGTCATTGCTATACCCTTCCTAACTATATGAAAACACTGGTTTTCTTCTTTTCTTTTTTCATGTCCTGAGTAGTAAACAGTATTATCTTGTGACTGAAATTACCCTATTCCAGTTTCATTTCACTCATCTCTAAAATGTAGTAGTCAACTGCCTTCATCTTTTAGTGTGTTGAGCCTTTCTATGTTCATGCTTCTCACTGTAATTCTTATGTACTCCCATTTTTTTTTCTTGCATTGCAACATCAGTAACCAGACTGTAATCTAGCTGCATGGTATACCCTATTGGTACTTCAAAAGATCCTCATACCTTCTTCAGTAGCATATTCAGTGCCATCCAACCTGAGGAGAACATCAGCACTATGTTATCAGTTTTTTTTTATATACATTTTTTCCATGTGGTTTTACTGGATGAAATACAAGGGTATTCACCATTATCACCTCTTATGAAATATGAACTGACATATGCTCCTGACAATCTTCACTTATGCCTCCCACATAATAGGACTTGGATGGAGTGGAAGATCAATTTAAAGGATTTAAGATTTTAAAAAAAGTCCCAAGAATAATGGAATATTAGAACCCAATTAATAAGAGAATTGTGGGATCTCCTTCACTGGGTATTTAGAAACAGAAATTTACAAATCATGTTAAACTTGAGAAAGTTTTCCAAACTAAGAGATGAGTAAAAGCAATCTTCTGTGTCCATATATCCAGGTGAATGACAAACCCTTTGTAAAAAATGTATTTATATGTATGAAGAAACCCTTTATTTCTTATCTATGGTTTATAATGTTCCTATTTTGTGATTTTATGCACATTTAAAAGTTTTTATGAATATATAGTGAGTCTGTAATGTAATATAGTCATGCTTTCTATTGTGTATTGAGGATACAATTGCAGTTGCCTTAGTTACAGTTGCTATAACAGGAGGGATTCATACTGAGTCTGAAAATAACTGGGAAGGTGGGGGGAGAGCAGAAAACCCTTTGTTTATACAGGTAGCAGGTGTACTGTAATATACAATCTGACTTAATTGTTAACTTCATTCAGATGTTCATCATTCATTATCTGGAATGCTTCACTAACAAGCAATCCAAAGAGCCTGGCCAGCTGATGTTTCTTAAATGTCATTGACTGTGGCAGGTGCTATTGAGTTCAGCAAGAACATCTGCATCTATGAAGTACATTGGCTTCCACTTGAACCAGGTCCCATATTCATGTGGAAATCAAAACACATATAGTCATAAGAGTTTTGCTGTAGTAGATGTTCACTCTCAACTAATCCTTGTTGATTGTTCCCAAAGCTAATTGGGAAGATTATTTTGAAAGGATTCTTTGGAAGAAACCAACAGTAGAAAGATGAGGGTAGGAACTTTTTGTGTCAAGATAACTCACAGAGAATAGCCAAAGAATGCCATTTTAATGGGCCATGAGTGCCTTGAAATGTGCAGATATATGACATATGTGTTGTTCTTTCCACATATTATGCTCAACAATTAATATGGAAAAGTTTACTAAAGCTGAATGCGTGTACTAAAGCTGAATGCAGATTAGAACTTGGGTATATAAATTTAAAATTGTTATGAATCTTTTGCATCACAATATTTAATATTGTGCAAATTTATTTTACTTAATCTTGGATTGAAAATCTTAGAGAAAACTGCATCAGCCTCATTTTTGAGAGTATTAATGTGTAATCATTGATTCTGTTTTCATTTATGTTTACTTTGATTGCAAATCTGTAAATAGTTGCTTCTGAAATGACGTTGAAGGAAATGGTATGTTAATAGAACATATCATCTTGAAAATAAATGATAAAAGGAACCAAAGGCAACTTTTTTTAAAAAATAATTGAAAATAAAACAATCTGCATTTTGGCATCCAATTTGAATGATGGCAGATGTACAAGTTAAAGTCTGTATGAAATAACTCCAGATGGCTCTGAAATTTTATATTTTCCAAATAGTCATAGCTCTGTAAAGCAAGATATGTACTACTGATTTTCCCAAGTATATGCCAGTATTATTCCAAAGACCATTATTTGCTTTCAAAGTTTGCCGTGACTGCTGTATTACCAAAAGGCTGCCATTCCCCACATGGTCTAAATTTATGAGATTTCATTTCTATTCATGCACAAAAAGATGGATAATTTCTACCAAATCCAACTGCCAACCTCCATTTAGCCCACACTATTACATGCCGTTCTGGGATTCCCCAGCCCTCAGCAGTGTCTTTCTGGAAGTGGGAAAGAATTGTCAAGGTTCTAATAGGATTATAAAGACCAAACATTTTAAACAGTGAGAGAACTTTCTCTTTTCCTTCCTTTATGTAAGCACAAAAAGGCAAAGCTATTCAATTGCCTCTCATATAATATAAATTTATTCTACTATGCCTTGGAGCATTGTGTTAAATGAATTTACTAATTACTTGCTTTTTGGTCTTACTCTCCCCTCCCCTGCAACACACAGACAAAAATCATTGATCATGTAGGCATATTGTACACATAAACATCCTAATTCCTTCTCCTTCTTCTTCTGGAGTGAAGTTAAAAAATAGTATTATTTCCTTTAGCTTCCATATGTTTCATTTTAGTTATATCTTCAGCTCTTTTTGCAGCAGTAGCTAGGTTGCATTCTTTTAATGGATGAAAGCCACTTTTCTTTCAGGCTTGGCAATGAAATATAGTATTATTTTGTAACAGGTAGCTTCTGGTAAAGAAAGAGAGCTATATAACACTTCCGTGATGAACGAGAAAACCAAATAATAACAGTTTTTAAGATAAGATCTATGAGACCACTACTGACAGCCAGTACAGACTAAAGGTTAAAATGCAAAATCTGATAATGGCCTTCCCTGTCCACATCATACCTGCCAACTAATAACATTAGCATGGTCATTGTGTTTAATTCATAAATGTGTAAATATTAATGTTTATTATACATACATACATATATATATATTTTCTGAGGTTTTCGCGGGTGTTTGTATGTAGGTCTTTGGTTATTCGGGTTTTCTCCCACGTCAAATTGGAAGTGTCTTGGTGACGTTTCGATGAAGTTGATTGATTGATTGCTCCTAGAAGCACAAAGCCGAAAACACCAGCCTGAAGATGACGAATGAGACTTCGTCGAAACGTCGCCAAGACACTTCCAATTTGATACGGGAGAAAACCCAAATAACCAAAGATATATATATATATAACAACCAAAGACGTACATATATATATATAAGACATATCTTAAAATGTGGAACATCACACAAAAAAGGAACTATGGAGCTTCAGTTGTTCAAAATTGTTTCTGCATGTGTACTTTATGTTCAGAAGCTATTTCTTGCATAGCAAAGTATGTGATTCAGGTGGTCAGCCCTGCTTTCTGAAGGTAGAATGATTCTTCTGTGATGTTATTCAGATTGAGTTAGACCAATAGGCCTCCTCAAGGCAAGACATCCCATTGAGATGTCTTAACAAACAAAATATAATATATTTTGTGTTACTCAGCCTTATGTTGCCACATGCAAAAGTGGAGTAACAGTGCAAATTCTAGTTTATATTTCTTTTACTAATTTTTGTTAAAAAAAATTTCCAGTGTTACTTCCTGTAGTGGAAGTACTTAAATTTGCAGAAACAAGTCTTCCAGTGCTGTTATGCAGAAATGTTAATGTTTAAAATAATAATGAAGTAATTCAGAAGGTTAAGGTAAGTTAAGGTAAAGAACTATTCTTAAACTTAAAACTGAATATTCAAATCTACTCTAACTACTTTTGATAGTGAATAGGAAGTTTTATTTTCCTAATTATCTTGTAGAATCTATCTTATATCGTGAATTTAACTTCAGTACACCGAAGCACCACCCAGAATTTATAAAATATCTGTACAATTAATATGATTGTTTTCTGTATATACATGTGTTTATAAAAATAGAAAGCTATAAAAATGTGTGATTTTTTTGAAGAAAAGTAAAAATGACATACTTTAAACAAGAAAATGAACTACTCTGATGGAAAATCAAATAATCAACTCACAATGTGACTACAACAATGCATAAAATAATTTATTTTATGGATCATATTTAATATGTAATCCTAAAACAAATTCCTTTTTTTTTTTAATTCTCCCAGGAACTTGGAAGCAACAGCCCACCACAGAGGAACTGGAAGGGAATAGCAATTGCATTGCTGGTGATTCTAGTGGTATGTTCACTGATCACCCTGTCCGTAATTCTTTTAACACCAGGTAGTAATAAACTTTTATTACTTATTTTTTTGAGTATTTAAACTCTAAATTGCTTATATTCAGTCTAACAGATGAATATAGGGAACTTAGTGAGATATATTTCTATGTAAGATGACAGATGCCATATGTTATAGAAATCATAAGCATGCTGTAGAATGTGATAGGATAAAACATTGACCTGTGAAGACTATTGATTATCCATTGATATCAGGAACTGGAATTGTGCATATGTGCATAAATATTCCACATCTCATCATGCACAACCTCTACCCACATCTCAGATTTCTGTGATTTGAAGCAAGTCTAGAAAATACCTTAAACAATTTTTGAAGGCATCTCTAAGACTTACAAAGCAATGGTCAGGAAACTGTAAAACTATGCTCAATATTGCCCCATTGTAAATATGCAAAACAGTAAAGAAACGTAAAAGCAGCAGACTGCCATAGTGTTAGTACTTCAGCTAAAGTAGTGAAGAATGCTAAGAGATAGGTATAGCTAAAAAACTTTTTTTCCCATCCCTGAAAGTCCTATCACAGTGGCATCCATGGAGGAAAGGGCAAAGATCAATGTGGTAGTTTCAGCAGTGTATCAAATTCCCATCCATTTGTAGATCTGTATGATATATAAAGATGGCAGAGCTTTGGGCTGCTGCAATAATCATTTTTCATCTTGTTAACTGCTTCCCTATTAAATCCATTGCTGCTCATCTCATTTGGACAGTGGATAAAGATATTTTCTCTTGATTTTGTCTCATGGCAATGCGGAATTTAAAGCTCACTAATCAGTCCAACAGCACAGTGGTCTCTAACCTTTCTGGCTTTGTGGACCGGCGGTGGGGGAGAGGGAATGGTTCCATGTTAGTGGCGGGTGCACGCAACTCCATTTATACAAGCAGCGGGCATGCACCGCCACTGTTCACACAAATGGAGCTGCACGCATGTGCTCGCCTGACCGCTGTGCACAGAAGTGGAACTGTAGGTGCATGCATGCTCACTCGCATGCTCACTTCTGCAATCCGGTTCTGAATGGGCCACGGCCTAGAGGTTGGAGATTCCTGCAATAGCACAAGGCAGAGGAAAGAAAGTATTTGAGCTTTGGTTGAAGCTTTCCTCCTTAAGCAATGGATAGAGCAAAAGAGATAGACTTTTCTTCCTTTTCCCAAACAAATATAGTCAGGATTACAAGAGTGTGGGCAAGTAAAAATAAACCTGAACTTTCCTATGTATAGGGAAGAAAAGATAAATGGACGAAAAAAATATAGTAGTATTGTAGTATGAAATATATAGCAAATCTCCTTACAGTTCTGGGAAGGCCAAATTATTACAGAATATAATAAGCTGTTGTTGTTGTTGTTAATTGTGAAGTCGTGTCTGACCCATCGCGACCCCCATGGACAACGTTCCTCCAGGTCTTCCTGTCCTCTACCATTTTCTGGAGTCCATTTAAGTTCACACCTACTGCTTCAGTGACTCCATCCAGCCATCTCATTCTCTGTCGTCCCCTTCTTCTATTGCCCTCAATCTTTCCCAGCATTAGGCCCTTCTCCAGTGAGTCCTTCCTTCTCATTAGGTGGCCAAAGTATTTGAGTTTCAACTTCAGGATCTGGCCTTCTAAAGAGCAGTCGGGGTTGATCTCTTCTAGGACTGACCGGTTTGAACGCCTTGCAGTCCAAGGGACTCGCAGGAGTCTTCTCCAGCACCATAGTTCAAAGGCCTCAATTCTTTGGCGCTCAGCCTTTCTTATGGTCCAACTTTCACAGCCATACATTGCAACTGGGAAAACCATGGCCTGGACTATACGCACTTTTGTTGGCAGGGTGATGTCTCTGCTTTTTAGTATGCTTTCTAGATTTGCCATAGCTTTCCTCCCCAGGAGCAAGCGTCTTTTAATTTCTTGGCTGCAGTCCCCATCTGAGGTGATCTTTGAGCCCAGAAAAATAAAATCTGTCACTACCTCCATTTCTTCCCCATCTATTTGCCAGGAATTGAGAGGGCCGGATGCCATGATTTTGGTTTTCTTAATGTTGAGTTTCAAGCCAACTTTTGCACTCTCCTTCTTCACCCGCATCAAGAGGCTCTTTAGTTCCTCTTCACTTTCTGCCATTAGAGTGGTATCATCTGCATATCTTAGGTTGTTGATATTTCTCCCGGCAATCTTAATTCCAACTTTTGATTCATCTAGCCCTACCTTTCTCATGATGTGCTCTGCATATAAGTTAAATAGGCAGGGCGACAGTATACAGCCTTGCCGGACTCCTTTTCCAATTTTGAACCAATCAGTGGTTCCGTGTCCAGTTCTCACTGTTGCTTCTTGACCCGCATATAGGTTTCTCAAGAGACAAATGAGATGGTCTGGTACTCCCATCTCTTTAAGAACTTGCCACAATTTGTTGTGATCCACACAATCAAAGGCTTTTGCATAGTCATGAAGCAGAAGTAGATGTTTTTCTGGAACTCCCTAGCTTTCTCCATGATCCAGCGTATGTTGGCAATTTGATCTCTAGTTCCTCTGCCTCTTCAAAATCCTGCCTGTACTTCTGGTAGTTCTCGATCCACATACTGCTGGAGTCTAGCTTGTAGGATTTTAAGCATAACTTTACTAGCATGTGAAATGAGTGCAATGGTGCGATAGTTTGAACATTCTTTGGCATTGCCTTTCTTTGGAATTGGAATGTAAACTGACCTTTTCCAATCCTGTGGCCACTGTTGAGTTTTCCAAATTTGCTGGCAAATTGAATGTAGCACTTTTACTGCATCGTCTTTTAAGATTTTGAATAGCTCAGCTGGAATACTGTCACCTCCACTAGCTTTGTTGTTGCTCAGATTTTCTAAGGCCCATTTCACTTCACATTCTAGAATGTCTGGTTCGAGGTCAGTGACCATCTCATTGTGGTTATCTGGGATGTTAAGCTCGTTCTTCTGTGTAGTTTTGCCATCTCTTCTTAATCTCTTTTGCCTCTGTTAGGTCCCTGCCATTTTGGTCCTTTATCATGCCCATCTTTGCATGAAACGTTCCCTTCATATCTCCAATTTTCTTGAAGAGATCTCTGGTCCTCCCTATTCTGTTGTTTTCTTCTATTTCTTTGCACTGTTCATTTAAGAAGGCATTCTTATCTCTTCTAGCTACTCTCTGGAATTCTGCATTCAATTGGGTGTATCTTTCTCTTTCTCCTTTGCCTTTCGCTTCCCTTCTTTCCTCAGCTATTTGCAAAGCTTCCTCAGACAGCCATTTTGCTTTCTTGCATTTCTTTTTCTTTGGGATGGTTTTAGTTGCTACCTCTTGTACAATGTTGCGAACTTCCATCCATAGTTCTTCAGGCACTCTGTCTATCAGATCCAATTCCTTAAATCTATTTGTCACCTCTACTGTATATTCATCAGGAATATGATTTAGTTCATACCTGAGTGGCCTAGTGCTTTTCCCTACTTTTTTCAATTTAAGCCTAAATTTTGCAACGAGAAGCTCATGATCTGAGCCACAGTCAGCTCCTGGTCTTGTTTTTACTGACTGTATACAGCTTCTCCATCTTTGGCTGCAGAGCACATAGTCAATCTGATTTCTATGTTGACCGTCTGGTGATGTCCATGTGTAGAGCCGTCTCTTGGGTTGTTGGAAAAGAGTGTTTGTTATGACCATCGTATTCTCTTGACAAAATTCTATTAGCCTGTGCCCTGCTTCATTTTGTACTCCAAGGCCAAACTTGCCTGTTATTCCGGTTATCTTTTGGCTTCCTACCTTAGCATTCCAATCCCCCATGATGATAAGGACATCATTTTTTGGTGTTAATTCTATAAGGTGCTATAGGGCTTCATAGAACCGGTCAATTTCATCCTCTTCAGCACCAGTGGTTGGGGCATAGATTTGGACTATTGTGATATTGAATGGTTTGCCTTGGATTCGAATTGAGATCATTCTGTCATTTTGGGGATTGTATCCCAGTATTGCTTTTCCTATTCTTTTATTGACTATGAAGGCTACTCCATTTCTTCTGAGGGATTCTTGCCCACAGTAGTATACCTAATGGTCATCTGAGTTAAATTCACCCATTCCTGTCCATTTTAGTTCGCTGATTCCTAAGATGTCGATGTTCAGTCTTGTCATCTCTTTTTTGACAACGTCTAGCTTATCTTGATTCATGGATCTTACATTCCAGGTTCCTATGGAGAAAAAATCTTTGCAGCATCGGACTTTCCTTTCACCACCAGATATATCCACAGCTAAGCGTCCTTTCGGCTTTGGCCCAGTTGCTTCATTCTTTCTGGCGCTACTAGTACTAGCCCTCTGCTCTTCCCCAGTAGCATATTGGACACCTTCCGACCTGAGGGGCTCATCTTCCAGCGTCATATCTTTTTGCCTTTTAGTACTGTCCATGGGGTTTTCATGGCAAAGATACTGGAGTGGTTTGCCATTTTCTTCTCCAGTGGATCACATTTTGTCAGAACTCTCTGCTATGACCTGTCCGTCTTGGGTGGCCCTGCACGGCATAGCTTATAGCTTCATTGAGTTACACTAGCCCCTTCGCCACGACAAGGCAGTAATCCATAAAGGGGATAATAAGCTGAGGAAACCCCAAATTCCTATTATCTGGTGATCGGTAAAGTAATGAAAACAATATATCTTTTTCTTTCTTTTTAGGTACTAGATCTTTAATTATTTATATTATTTAAACTTCTGATTATATGCAGACTTAGAGCAGTTATAATTGCTATAGTCAAGGAGAAATGATTGGAATACTTAAAAAGTTTTATTTTCCCAATTTCTCTAAAATGTAGTTAAATTGCAATGAATAGAGTACAGGATCATTTCACACTAGCGATTTATAGCCAACCCTGGTTGGATTTTTATATTCTTTAGCTTGAGAAATCTGTTAATATCTGAACAAAAGCTAAAAATATTTTTGTATGCACAGTATTCATTTTTCAGAGCTTTGTTACTTTTCGTTATTGTTATAAATGAAAACACAGATATTCTTTGAGAAACAATCCTTCAGATAACCAGGTCCTCTGCCATGTAGGGCTTTAGTGATAAGCAGCTCCTTGTACTGCACCTGTAAGGAAACTGGGATCCTGTGTAGCTTGTACAATAGAGATGTAAGATCAACAAACATATGAATGCCCAATACTGCACGTGCCACTGCATTCTGGACCAGTTGTATAGGTAGCTCAAACAAAGGGCCAAACAGCAGTCTCTGAATACTTGGTGTTAGGAATTACGCATAACACTTCACAAAATTATAATTTGACCTTTATTTTATCCCAATTAACAGGCTCTATTATCCCCCTTTTTTCTTGTTTGCTTTGTTTTTCTTGTTTGAGATGGCAATTAGAGAGAGTTAGCTTTGCCAATATTTTGATGCAGCTTAGACTGTTACTATTTTCATACGCAACTAACTACAGATGATGGGCCAACTCTTCTTGTGCAAAAGTCTTTAGTTAACATTATTTGTGAAGTGGTATAGCATGATCTAAGGGGATTCTGAATATATCATCTTGTACTTTGATTTTGTACTTAAGTTACTGTCTAATTTTGTATAGAACTGCAATTCTTGTCAGAAAGTTTACATGCCTTGAGAAAAACAGAACAAGTAAATACCAAATTAAGATTAGCTTTCTCATGACCTTTAAAATCCGAGAGACTAAGGGGATCTCACCTTCTTCCAGTTGTAGGGAAAAACTTCATTATCTGACTTCCACCCAGTACTTCTGATGTAAACTAAACACTGTTCGCATCTGATTTTGCCTCAGATCAGATCAGAATCCATTTCCCCAGATTACCTGATAATGTTTCATATCTCTCCCCTCAATTTTATTCATACAAAAGAGAACCTAAAGTTAAAATCCCTATAGTCTCCTAGAAAAATATTTGAAAGGATTATTCATTTTCATTCTAATTTTCTTCAACATACAACAGAAAATGGCCAAATACATCTTCTGAAAGTGCACCCTTTAAGCCAAGGCTTTGAGACTGCCTCTGAAAAATCCTTGAGCTGTTGCAAGAATATCAGGGCTTTCCTGACATTTTAGCCAAGTTTTTAAGCAGAGGATAACCCCCTTGTGTTTTCCTGTTAATTTGATCAGCAGTATGATCCCAAAAATAAAGTTGTAAATTCTTGGTTGGGCTTCTAATCTACAGTGTCAAAGAGTAATTGCATCCTCTAAACTGGCTTAACAAAATTCATACATCATTTTAAATCTGGGGTTGCTTTAATCATGAATAAACCACAGTAGCTAAATTCATACCATATGCCTATCTACCATCAGATAAATTGCATTATATTTTATACTATCACATTATTTTATTGTGTGAATTCAGTCACACATGTGATCTGTTCTATGCTACCTTATTGATGATCTAGAGCAGTGGTTCTCAACCTTTTTAATGCTGCGACCCCCAACCGGTTGTAAGTCGAGGACTACTCAACCGGTCGTAAGTCGAGGACTACTCAACTGGTGCAGCACCATTTGCAGAATGGGACTTTTGGTAGGCTCAGCAGGGCAGAGACAGCCTGGACAATTCCTATTGGCTTCTGAAAGCCAATAGAATTAGACTCTATTCAAGAGAGTCTATTCTATTGGCTTTCAAAAGCCAATAGAATAAAAGGGAGTAGCACAGCTAAAGAAAAGGGGAAAAAAATAGCAGACTGCATTGTTTGGTGACCCCCGTGAAATGGGCGTTCGACCCCAAATGGGGTCCCGACCCACAGGTTAAGAACCACTGGTCTAAGGCAAGGAACTTCAACTTGTTTGAATTAAGGTCATAGGGTTCATAGGAATTTATTCTTTACAGATTCATTGATTGATTGATTGATTGATATCCTTTTTCATGTATTAATATACAAATAAACACTATTTGAAAACATTGAAGGGATATCAGTATTTTAAGCAAAGATTTATTTTTGAACTCTGTACTTTAAAATTAATAGTTCTTTATTAAAATGTTTTTTTTATGGCAGATGAACTATCAAACTCTTCAGAAACCAGATTGTCTTTAGAAGATCTCTTCAGAAAAGAGTTTGTAGTTCACAATCCAGATGCCAAATGGATGAATGGTATGTTGAATATGTTGGACAAGCACTTTGAATAGAAAATATGAAAAGTGAATTATATTTTACTAATATACATAAAACTAAAGTACATTTAGAGAGTATATTATAAATGTAGAACAATGGTTATTGAATGCTGGACAGATTTAAGCTTTCTTGGATTAAATCTTTATTTAAACATATTTAGGAAATCAACTGGCCTTATGTTAATCATGATTTCTGTGGGTAGCTTCTAAGCAGATCCAAGGCCAAACTCTTGATAGAGATGGTGATAGTGATAATCACTATCTTTTGAGGTAGGTCAAGAGATAGACAAGTATATATAATATGTATATTATATTAAAATAAATTAGTATAAAGAGGTATCACACAAAGGTATATTGATATATATGTTAATTTATGTATAAATTAATTTATAAATTTATAAGCCCCAGCATTTGCCTTACTCATTAGCAAAATTAAAGAACTAATCTTACCGTGGAACAACTCACCTGTCCACCTCAATTTAGTACTCTTATACAGATATTCCTTGGGTTACAACCACAACTAAAATTTCCATTGCTAAGCAAGAAGTTGTTAAGTAAATTTTGTCTCTTTTCATTACCTTTCTCACCACTGTTAAGTGAATCACTGCGGTTATTAAGTTAGTAGCATGCCTTTCAGCTAATCTGGCTTCCTCATTGACTTTGCTTGTCAGAAGATCAAAAAGGTGATCACAAAATGACCCCGGGACATTGCAAACATCACAAATATGAACCAGTTGCCAAGTATCTGAATTTTGATCATGTGGCTATGGATATGCTGCAATGATTGTTAGTATGAAAAACGGTTATGTCACTGTTTTCACTGCTATTGTAGCTTTGAATGGTCATTAAACTATGGTTGTAAGGTGACTATATGCTCTCCTCCATCTCCTCTCCCATAATTATTCAGTCCTACAATGTAACTCTGATCTAAATTTTAATCCCTAAGACAATGATGGCTAACCTATGGCACAGGTGCCAGAGATGGCACTCGGAGCCCTCTTTGTGGGCACACCCACCATCTCCCCAGCCCCGCCTCCCACAGCCCCCTCCAGCAGCCCCCCGGAAGAGAGTCACCCCTAGCCCGCACGAAGCAGCACAGCCAAGGAAATGGTAGTTGGGCAGCAGGGACAAGACTCCACCCTTGTGCCCCGTTGCATGTTGATGATGCTGCGGGGCATTGGCAGAGGGTGTGGCTGCCATGATGTTGGGCTGCCTGGGTGATCTGTGGCAGGCTGTGGAGGTGGTGGGTGGCCCAGTGGGCAGGGCGGAGTGAGGACGGGGGGCAGTTTTTGGGCACTCAGTCTCTAAAAGGTTCGCCATCACTGCCCTAAGAGATTACAAGCAGTAATATTTATTTAGTCTCCCGAACCAAACCAATCCTGTCCAAGTAGTTGACATTTCTCTTCCTCTTTTATTTAAATTATTCTTTTCCCTATATCAATTCCTTACCTGGCCTTCCTCATGTCTAGGGATCAGCGCAAAGAGCCTCTCTCTTTGTTCTCTCACTTCAATTATACAGACCAGACATACTAGTTGATATTTAACTCATTTTTATAGGGGGGGGGAGTAAAAAGTAAGTAAGGATTATGGTTTTGTAGATGATAGCTACAAAATACCAATAGTATTATCAAGGATCTCTAATTAATTATGTTAATTCATTTATCCAAACCTGGAATTAGCTTCCACCTTCTCTTCATCTCTGTGGAAATGTGATGCCATTTAAAATAGTTTAAAATAATAGTTTACTGGCTTATGGACTTGGTTGTTCCACCCCATTCTTATTCATCTCATAGTTTAGAGTTATGCCTGTTTAAAATTATTATTAAAACAGGCATAAATTTGGTCTTATCCCATAGCGATGTTTTAAAACTATCACTGTTGCATGGGTTATTTAATGTTTTGTTTTGCTGGGTTAATTTATTGCTATTAAATTGGATTGATTTGTATTTTTGATTATTTTGCTCATTTTGTCCCATGCCCTTATGTAAATAATAATAATAGGAAAATATTGAGGGACTATATTATAATTTGAATTATATGCCAGTGTACTGGCTACTTTCTGTTTCTAATTTTGGTCAGCTTACTGATATTTGGAAGAATACTTGGAAAGTATGCTTAGAAAATAGACCATGTTCCATAGTTTCTTCTGCTGCCATTGTTGGCTCTTCATCTGCCATACTTCCCTGTTTGTTTGTTTTTTATTTTTAGTGCTAATTGAATTAATAACAGAAATTCCTAAAATTGTGTTTCATTCATCATAAGTAATTAATAATTGTGTATCTACCTTTCTGTTTTGATTTTCCCTTCTCCTCCAGTTTCTTGTCATTTTGATGTAGATTTACAACAAATAATATCAGAATAGAACAGAGAATACCGTAAATTGCTTTGCCATTCCAAAATGCAAGAAAAACAAAGTTTTTATCTGGGTTTATCTCTTGGATTATTTCATTGTCAGAACACTTGCACACAAACAAATTGGAAAATACTTTTGGAAATCATTAAAACTAATTATTAGTGTTTAAGGGAGTAAAAAACTCTGAATGCATTTACTTGACTAGAAAGTACCTTTAGGAGAGCCAGTACCGTATGTACAGTTCACTAAATTCTGTAAAAAAGGCAATATTTACAAAACAATTTTTTGCTATGTACGTTTCTATGCCCTAGGGCAAAAAGTAATTTGAGAAAGGAGAATAAATAAGAAAGAGAAGTGATTTACTGAAAAAGGAGCCTCCAAAATGGTTAAGAATAATATTTTGGGAAACTAGAGAGCCTTGAATAAAATGCATAAATCAGAGAAGACTGTGCTATGTGAAACAATTGGGTATGTTTCATGTAAACATGTGAAAGGTCATCAAGAGTGTAGATTAAAAAAATGACTGATTACTTAACCTATAACTAGTGATAGGAATGAAAATAAGACCTGCAAAGAAAATAGCAATGGAAATACAGTGATACACTCATTCATTCAATAAGCTATGCTATAATACCAATTTAAATTTATAACACTGACAATAAAATCATCAAACATTATTGAATAATATTCATCACCTATTCTAACAATTTCCATATTTCTTTTACTCAATCTTTAGTTACAATGATTATATATCTCTTTTTTCTCCATTTAGTGATCTTATCGTATCTACAGTGAAATAGAAAACTCATTGAGATCTTTAAAAAAAATCAGCTTTGATTTCAATATATTGCATCGTAAGACTTGAATTTATAGTTATGTTACAAATATGATAGTAATGTTACTTTAATTTGTGGAACAGATAAATGGATTTGACACTTTTGAAAGGATTCTTTTTATATGCTTTCTTCTTAATTTATGTTGCATTTATTAAAAAGGAAAAATACATGCATTTTATTGTATTCTAAAGCAATAAGGAATATTTTTAAAGGAATGTATATATGAATAAAAATAAATGGAATGTTTTTCAGTGAAAAGCATTCCAGTTCAAAAAACTTAATTTTTTTGTTCAAAGCACTGATTGTTTTCAAATGTTAGTATATATACAAAAGGATTGCACATCTAGCCTCAACTTAAGACCATAATTAGGACAGGACCTTCTGTTGCTAAGCAAGGTGGTCATTAAGTGACTTGTGCCTAATTTTAGTACCCTTTTTTGCATGGTCATTAAGCAAATCACCATGGTCATTAAGTGAATCATATGGTTGTTAAGCAAATCCAGCTTTCTCCATTAACTTTGCTTGTTGGAAGCTGGCTGGGAATGTTGCAATAGCAGTCATGTGATCTCAGGGTGCTGCATCCAACGTAGATACAAGCTGGTTGCCAAGGATCCAAATTTTGATACATGACTCTGGGGCTGGTGCGGTGGTTGCAGGTGCAAGGAGCAATCATCAGTTGCTTTTCTCAGTATGGTGGTAACTTCATGCTATCACTAAATGAATGGTCATAAGTCAAGAACTACCTGTATGTGCTGTGCTCTCTCTCTCTCTCTTTCTCTCTTTCTCTCTCTCTCTCTCTCTCTCTCTCTCTCTCTCTCTCTCTCTCTCTCTCTCTCTCTGTGTGTGTGTAGAAATCTAGAAATATTAACTGTATTAATTCAAACAAGAGAGAGGACTATGAGAAATATGTCTCAGTTTTTAAACACTTAAATTCAGCAACTACTGTAGGTACAGACTTCTGTTTATATTAATAAACACACACAGAGATACACATACATACACACACAAACATATATATATATATGTGTGTGTGTATGTGTATGTGTGTGTGTGTGTGTGTATGTCCATGTGTGTGTGTGTATGTGTATGTATATGTTGAGGAAAATAGTCAAACACCAGAATAAATATAAAAATAACTGTTTAATAAACTAATAATTGTTTGATAACAAAGTAGAATGCCAGAGGTTCAAAAGCCTGCTTATAAGACCGGCAGTTTGTGTGCTCTGCTCATAGAACGCATTACCTGTCTACCTGCCCCAGTTGACCATATTGCTTCTAATAGACTTGCATCCGTTTGTATACTTGTAAGCTCAGGGATCATTGCCTTTCTTGTTGTCGCTCTCTTTGCCGCTTTGAATATATCCGGGAACACGTTGCTTTAGGATGGTCCCCCGGTGCCTCCTGTCCTGTGGCCATCCCCCTTGTTGTGAGTGTGGCACAATACATACATACATACATACATACATATATACATACATACATACATACATATTGTTATATTGGATAAGCTTAAGGAGTACAAAAGAGTTACCGTATTTTCCGGCGTATAAGACGACTCGGCGTATAAGACAACCCCCAACTTCGGAGAAGATTTGTATGGTTTAGAAAGTCGTCTTATACTCCGGAAAATACGGTAAGAATAAAGATACAAAAGGAAAAATGAAAATAGGACACAAGTAAAAGGATTGTGACTCATTCACCATTCCATTCTTTTCCCCCAATCTCTAACCACTAATTAAATATTTATGCTATGTTTTCAATATTTAATAATAAACATTGACATTTTTTTGC